CCAAGGGGAAATTACATGTACTCATCAAGTGTATATTTGAATCTTGTATAAACAACTTCCTAAATACTTGAATCTGCTATCTTATGTTGGTATATTTCTATCAAATATGGTAACTGTGCAAGCCAGAATGTTTTTGCTTGTTATATGTGTGCAGAATTACTAACATACATTCGTAATTAAAAAAAAAAAAAAATTGGTTCCTTATTTAATACTTTTATGGTATTATGAATTTATCTGATGCTATATAGGAAAAGAATGATAAAAAATAAGTTTGTGACCACGAGGATCTCATACTCAGGCTGTAGCAATGCAGGTGTGGTGGGCACCTGTCTGCCATGGGAGCACATTTAGTGCCATGAAGAGAAGTGACTTTTCACCGAAGGGCAATGATCCAAATGAGAAGTTGGCACACTGGAATTTCCTGTGGTTTCTAGTTTTCAAAGATGACGTGAAGTCTTAATAGTGTCATTGCACATGACCTCGAGTTTTTCTTAAGGCAGACACATTTGGAAAGACTGTGGTGTGTTGTCCACGTGTGTCTGCAGCACACAGAGCTCGCTAGAGCCTTCCATTGAAGTTACTGGGTGCTGCCCACGTGTGCGAGCTGCCTGGAAATCCAGTGACCGTCTGCATCTGGTGCCTCACGGGGCTGAGTGACATTGGGCCACAGACATCTTTTGTTGTTATTGATGAAGGGAGACATAACCCAGGTGATAGAATTTAAAGGGCACTTATTTTGCTAATTTTACACAAAAAGGCACAAAACTCAATGGATAGACATGTAGTTAACCCCTCACTAGTCCCCACCAAACACGGTGTGGTGCTTACACCAAGTGATCCCTGCACCTGGTTTGACTATTCAGGGTCTCTCCCTTATGCCAGGCAATGCTTTTCAGGAATTCTGCCTGCCTGGTGAACTTGGGCATGAGCACTAGGTATTAGTGAATATTGAAAGTAGGTGGGCACTGCACGGGGTGCCTGCTGTGTTGCAGAACGTGTAGAAACGACTGTGGTCACCTCTGACCTTTGTGGCCGAGTCATCTGGTCAAACCAGGCAGAACAGGGAAGTCCGTTTTTATTCTTCGTTTCCATAGTTGCTTGTTCCTCAGTCGTACGTTTGTAGTCAATGTTTGCGTTTCTCCTCCCGAAGAGCACGTGGTTGGTCATCTTTCATGACAGCACTTGCTTCCTCCTTCCCTCTCGGCAGAGACCCCGATCTCCA